AATGAAGGTGGTGGGTACCCCACAGCCTCCAGAATCCCCCAATTCTGCACTCAGGAACCACGCTACACACAGTACCTGGAGCCTTTCTCCACTCCCCCGTTCACCATGGGGATCCATTTGGTGCGGATCTGAAAGGTGAGCAGAGGGAAGGGACTGTCAGCATGGTGTGGGGAGGGAGAGGAAGCTCCCAGCTCAGCTCCTGTGGCAGCCAGCTGGGCTCTGCAGCCATCTGCTCCCCAGTGTTCCCCAGCACCAGCGGGCAGAGCAGACCCAGGGATGCTGGACACCAGCAGGAGGAGGTGAGGAGCCCAACACGTGAGGACAACAGCCAACACAGGAGCAAGCCTGGGCTGTGCTCAGCCTGTTGCTGCTGCTGCTTGCAGGGGTATCAAACCCCAAATCCTTGCAGGGCTGAGGGACATCAGGACCCACCCACACCAACAAAGCCTGGTAGGACCCAGTTACCTTCTCGATGGTGGCCTCCTTGGTGACATCGTACACCACACAGACCACGTTGGCCTGCAAGAGAGAAGGGTGGCGAGTGAGCCCCGCGGCGGGGAGGCTGGCTGAGCCCAAGGCACAGTGGCAGGACAGCCCTGGAGCCAGGCAGCTTGGCCCTGTCACCGCTGGCACTGGACCTCGCCTGAGCGCGCGTGAGCGTGCACACGTACACACAGCGCTCCCACAGCCACCGCTCGCCTGCCCACCATCAACACCAGCTCCACAACGGGCTGCTCACAGCAAACACTGGCTCCTCTGCTCCAGGAGCTCCCCCATGCCTGACACCCCCCAGCTCCCTGCTCCCACAGCTCCCTGTCCCCCCACCACGGCTCTGCCCGTGCCCTGCGCTGGGCCAGCGGCCGCTGCCCTCCTCCCCTGGCCCAGCCCGTCAGACAGCGCTGACACCAAGGCTTTGTGTGAAGCAGACAGGAGGGATCACTGCCCCTTTCAGGGGGGAGTTTAGTGTTAATCCCGAGGACACACACAAAGGTTTAGGAAGGATTTCCTGGAGCCATTTGAAGCCTCTGTATACTCTTGCTGGCTGGGTAGAAGGTGCAGGACCCCTGTGCTCACCAACCCACCTCCTTGGCCGTCAGCCACGGAGGCAGAGAGATTAAATAGCTTTGCTCGTGTAAGATGCAGAGGGGAGACAGTTTTATTATCCATAATCAAGAAGTCAGGCTCTGCACAGAGCTGAGGTTAATCCCAGGGCAGAGCAGGGCAGCTGGGCCCACCCCAGCCAGCCAACTGGATAATGGTTGCTCCAAGGGACATGGGAACCCTCATCCCTCCATGCCCAGGGCTCCAGCTCCCAAAACAACCCCTCCGTGCCACTGCTTCATCAGGCAGCCACAGACATAAGGAGCAGAGGGGTCTTGCTCAAGCTCAGACTCTGCTTTTCCCTTCTTCTGAGTCCATCAGGAACACCCTGAGGCTCAGAGCACATCATCTGCTCAGCAGCCTCCTCCACTCCTCAGTGGGCGGCGAGCCGCCGCCCACCGCTCTCC